CACCATTGCTGTCAGCGGGTCCCCCATCCTCTGTGAGGAGCTTCGCCTGTGAGCACAATCCCCCTCGGGTTTGCTCTCTCACAGGATGCCCTGAAATAGGGCTTGTAGGAGCAGGCAGCACCCAGCCCCCTGCCTGGTTGAGGTCACCCCATGGGTGACAGGAGCCCTCAAAATCTCTGTCCAGGCAGTGTGTGTATCTGTGTGTGTTGGCATGAATCTGCTACTCCTCCTGAGTCTGGAGACTGTTCCTACCTCTGCCCCTTGCCAGGCATTTTACCACTTCTGCCAGACGCCACAGCAAAGGCACCCCTGGGCTGAGACCAAGGCATCCCCAACTCAGCCAGGGATCCAGGAACTGACTGTGCAGGGCTGTGGTGCTGGTCTTGGTGGGGTCAGAGGTACTGCAGAACCCTTTCCCCGACATTGCTGCCCTGTGCTGTTGGATGCTGGGGCAGACAGGGACGCTGACAGGCCAGGGAGCACACAGTGGTCACACTCATCCCTGGAGCCCTCACTGCACCAAACCTGTCTGAGGACCAGGCTGCTGCAGCCTTCAGTGGGACATCTGTTTGTCACATGTCCAGTGGCTCTTCCCTCCCCTCCACGGTGGCCCCTAGCCAGGAGCCAAACCACCCATCCTGGCAGAACCAGTGGCCTTGGATGCTGGGGAGCATTTCCCACCATAGGGAGATGGATGGGTTCGGGACACTTAGGCTGGGACTGCCATGAGTCCCAGCAAGAGAGGAATGCTGGTCCCAAGACACTGGAGGGTGACATTGCTCCAGGACTTATGCTGGAGGGAGAGGGACCACAGTCTGGCCACTGTCCTTGTGTTTAGACCAGTGCCAGGCAGTGCTTTATTTCTGGCTTAAAGACACAGGTGAGCCCCCCCTCCATGGGGTAAGAATGCAATGCTCTGGAGGGACTCAGGAAAAGCGCAGGGGAGAGCTGACATGGCATTGATCTCTCTGTGTGCTCATGTCCTGGACAGCCCTGTGTCTCTTCTTGGACAGACTGGCACTGGTGTGAGAAGGTTCTTCCTAAAATCAGCCCCAAAGCCTGGGGGTTGCCAGATGCCCCCCTGCCTGTGGCTCAGGCCCCCCAGCCATGCTGCACCTTTCCTGCCTGGACATCAGTCCCTTTTCTTTGAATCCTCCTCCTACAGGGACCTAGACATAAAAAACCACTTTCTCATCTTTCCCACCTGCAAAATCAGCCGGAGCCCTGGGGTAATGAGCCAGTCCCTCCTGGAATAATTTAGGACTGGCAGTCCCACAGCAGCCCCTGCCAAGTAACCCAGGGGCACCCCAAACCTGCAAGGCTGTATCCTCAGGTTATTGTGCTTGCAGGGGCTGGCAGGGTCTGTCTATCTCCAAGAGATGGTAAATATTGACCCACTCAATTGCAGCAGCTTTACTCCAAGGAGCTTCACCCCAGCCAGGGGGGCACAAACAAGCATCAACCAGTGCAGCACCAGGGTCCCCCTCATTTTTCCTTCCTCCAGCTCGCGACAGGTGCACGACCCTCAGCATCATCCAGAAGCAGCAAAAAGTGCTCCCCCATTTCTCCACACTCCCTTCCCTGGGGACAGCATCCCACCCTGCAAGGGGAACATATCTTCACGTTCTCTGTGTTTTCCTTTCTGAACGGCGTGGCGGGCGCTAGGTGTCCAGCCACATACAGGTTCTAGCTCGGAAGAAGGTGCGGGAGTACCAGGTTGGCATCAAGGTACGTTGACGCCCTTGCCCAGGTGTCTGCGGCGGTGTCTCTGTGAGCATGGGCAGCCCCTCTCCTTCTTCCTCCTTTCCTCTGGTTGACGGCTCTGCTGTTCCCCCTCTCCTTCTGCTCTCTCTCTGCAGGTCTCTAGCCACTTGCAGGTTCTTGCCCGACGGAAATCTCGTGAGATTCAGTCCAAGCTGAAGGTACGCGTTCCCCGCATCGCTGGCCCCCGCCTGCTGACGACTAACCCCCTCGGCTCTGCGGTGTGCTGCTTGCTTCCCTGTATTACCTTTCTTTTTTGGTGTTTTATTTTTCTTCCCGCTCACTTGGCTTCTAGGTCCGGATGATCTTTACAGGTGTCATTGTGGGATGCCCAGAGAGAAGTGCAAGGAGGGGCAACAGAGCCCTTCCCTTTCCTTCAGGAGGGTGAATTTGGGTGCCGAATCTCCTCTTTTCACCTGGGCAAGAACTCTGCCGTGGGAAAATGTGGGTTTAAACCCTCCTCCGGTGATGTATGAGGGCTGCCCCCTCTTTTGGGCCATCAGGGGTTCTCCCAGGAGGGGAAGATCTCCCCAGAGCAGCCAATGAAGCAGAGTAAGGTTTAAGCAAGGTATGCAAAGGCCCACTCCCCTCCTCAACTGAGACCTGACCCTACTCAGGACAGCTGCTGGTGGGATGTGGGCAGAAGCGGGGGGGTCAGGGGGCTCCCTGCAGGCTGCCAACCCAGTGGCTTGTGAGACACCAGGATGTGAGTATGGCCTAGGGGCACCTCAGGGATGTGCATGGCAGCAGGTCCAGATGGGGCCATGCTGCTGGGAAGGAGGCTCAGCAGTGTCGGGGCAGTCCATGGTTCCAGGAGCCAAGGGAGCCAAGTGAGGAAAAACTGGATCATCCTGTCTCTCTTCTCTGGTTGGCTTTTCTTTCCTTCCTTCTCTTCTTCTTTCCTCCTAACTGGAGCCCAACTAATCCTTCCATAACTGTTCCCACCGAGCTTTGTGGTGGCAGTGGGGAGGGTGATGATGGGGGGGCGTAGACAGGCCTGGGAGCATCACCGAAAGACCGAGCCCTGTTCGGGTTGGACGCACACGGTGCAAGGTGGGGGGCAGAGCAGTCCCCACTGCATGACTGCCCACTGGGGACAGCCAGCTCCTGGGATGTGCCTGACTGTCACACCAGGGAGGATCTCCTTGGGCATCTCCAGGGGTGACCTACTGCCTTGCTGGGTGTGTGGGAGCCCAGAAAGCCTTTCAGCCCGCTGACCTTGAGGTCCCAAAAGCATCACCAGCCCCCCCTGTCCTGGGTGCTCTATCCATCTCCAGCACTGAGGCTGGCAGCAGGGGCCAGAGAGTTGAGAGCGAGGGCCACCATCAGAGCTGGAGCTGGCAGTTTTGTCCTCAAAGCTTTAACAAGCTCCAGTTCATGCTGCCTGGAAGCTCACCAAGCTGTGCCCTCCAAAGCCCTTCAGCAAGGACCCCAGTGCCCCATGACTGAGGTGGCAGGAGGGCTCCCACAGCCCAGGAGGGTTTGATCTGCTGGGAGAAGCCAGGAGATGGCACCTGAAACTATTTGGGGAGGCTCCTCTGCGCTTGTATGTCTTAAACCCAGCTCCCGAGAAGGGCAGTCAGGGAGGTGAGGGGGGCAGCAGGAGCAGCAGCAGCAGAAGCCTTTACAACAAAATAACATAGAATGAATAGCTTTTCTTGCTGCACAGCACAGTGCAGGGCAAAGGGGGAGTTGGAGGCAGCAGTGACTCCTGGGGTCCAGGGTTGGAGGCCTGTGTCCATGGCTGTGCTCTCTATCCCCAGGCATGCTCCCTGTGGGATTTGGCAGGGAACAGCCAGGACAGAGATCCCCCTGAGCAATACTCCGGGGATACAAAACATCCTTTCCCAAGACCGGTGCAGGCAGCCCTCTGCCCTCACGCAGCACTGTGGGATGGAAATTCCCTTCCATGAGCAGTGTCTGTATTTTTGAGCTGCAGTCATGTGAGTGTTCATGCTCCCAGCATGTGGCTGCATGCCTGCGCTCCCACCCTACCCCAGGTGAAAATAAATGAAGCATTGATCCCTGGGGAAGGTTCAGAAGGAAAACAGAGGGTGCGCACTGGGACCAGCATGCACATGTCCTGTATGTGCAAGTGGAGGAACAGCCTTGCCCCAGGCAATACCTGGGAGCCTTGAGCCCTGTGCTCCTGCCCAGCGGTGCTGTGACCTCCAGAGCAAAAGGGAAAAGGAAAAATGATTGGTCTCCTATATAAATGCACACATGGCAGGTGCAGGTGCCCTTTGCCAGTCAGAGCAGGAGCTGGCAGCTCTTTCTCTCTGTGCCCTGGCAAGCATTGAGGGCCCCTGAAGAGGTTGTAGAGGTTATTAAAGAGCCAAGAAAGACACAGGCTTGGCTCACCTCAGTGACCCCATAAAATACTGGGGGACTTTGGCATCCCATTCCTGGTGGGATTAAGCCCAGGCATAAATGGCCACCATGTGCAATCCCCTGGTGACCAACCAGGTCGAGGGGTTCACTCCCAAAATCTGTGTGATGCCGTGATGAGCTGGGAGTGGGGATACCTGACTGATGGGGAGGTGCACACAGTACCCATAGGCTCCCACAACACTCTAACCTTTTTTTTTTCCTTTCTTTTGTGGACAGGCCATGAACTTGGTAAGTTGAGTTTGAGTTTGAAATGCCTTTTGTTCCCCATTGCCTTTTGCCCTCTTCCAGGGAGGGGCTAACCCCAAGGGTGGGGGGAGACAGGGGTTGGGAGTGGGACAGGGATTGGGATTCACATCTTCCAGAGCTGTCAGCTTTTGCCCAGGGAACATTTTCAAGCTTCAAATGTTAATTAAGATGGGTACATTTGAGAGGGGTGGGGGGATCCCTCTGCCCGCACCCCTTGGCCAGGCTGCAGAGTTGGCTCCTAGCTTTGCAAAACCTGTCAGGCACAATTGGACTGAGGAAGCTCAGTCTGCCCCTGTAACCACCACTACCCTCCTGTCTTCCCTTTTGCCTCCAGGACCAGGTCTCGAAGGATAAAGCTCTGCAGAGCATGGCTTCCATGTCCTCTGCGCAGATCGTGTCAGCCAGCGTCCTGCAGAACAAGCTCAGCCCCCCACCTCCTCTTCCTCAGGCCGTCTTCTCTGCTGCCCCCAGGGTGAGCACAACCCCATGTTCCCCCATACAGGGACCCCCTGGGGCAGGGGGGGCATGGATCCCTGTGCATGAGCCACACAGGACAGGGGGATGATCAACAGCCATCCTCAGCCATGGTGGCAATGCAGGGGGAGAAATGGGGGCTCCTTGCTGTTTGCAGCAGGTGAGGGGAATTTGGCTGGGGCAGAAAGTCATAAGCCGCTGACTTTTCCCTGTGCTACTTCTCCAGTTTTGGAGTGGGCCTATCCCAGGACAGCCTGGACCCTCTCAGGAGTAAGTATGAAACCCCTCCACTACCTGGCACCAGGCAGGACCCTACCTTGGCAAGGGAGTGGGGTATCCCGGGCTTGGTAACCTGATGATGCTCTTTACTTTCCAGCATTAAACCGTTTGCACAACCAGCTTACCCCATCCAGCCACCCATGCCTCCATCACTAGCCAGTAAGTCACGTCCTTGCCCCCTTGCAGGGAACCCTGTGCCCCTGCCAGGTCATATTTGTCCCCTGTCCCCTCCCCACCCACGGTGCTACCCGCCTGAGGCTCTTCCCCAGTCCTGATGGGGGAAAAGCCTGAGTTTAAACCTGGCAAAAAGTCCTGCAGTGAGCAGGACCCTGCTGCTCCTGGCTGGGTCCCCTCCAGTCCCTTTCCACTCAGGAGTAGGACTGGCACATCCTGTGTTTTAGCCACTCTGTGGGAAAACCCCCATGCTGGGAGATAAGGGAGAGTGGGGAATGCAGTGAGGACAGCAGCACCATGGCATTGCAGGGGGACTCCCCCCAGTTCACAGCTGCCCCCATCCCCATGTCATTCCCCCTGCCCCAGGTTACGAGCCCTTGGCTCCGCTCCCGCCAGCTGCATCAGCCGTGCCTGTCTGGCAGGACCGCACCATCGCCTCCGCCAAGCTCCGGCTTCTGGAGTACTCCGCCTTCATGGAGGTGCCGCGGGATGCTGAAACGGTAACGGTCCCCTCCGTATCCCCACCAGCTGTGGGGGATGGCACACACACCTGTGCTTGGTGGCATCTTGCTTTCACCTGACCTCTCATTCTAATGTCCCTGGTCCCTACAGTACAGCAAACACCTCTTTGTGCACATTGGCCAGACGAACCCCTCATACAGCGACCCACTGCTGGAGGCCGTGGACATCCGCCAGATCTATGACAAGTTTCCTGAAAAGAAAGGTGGCCTTAAGGAACTCTATGAGCGTGGGCCCCAGAACTCCTTCTTTCTCGTCAAATTTTGGGTATGATGCTGGGAGGATTAGGATGGGAAGGGTTGTCCTTGAGCCATGGGCTCGTTGCAGGTTGGGCCCCCTGCCAGCATGAAAGCTGGTGTCTCCTGTCCCCATCGAGAGCTGGGTGTGGTGGTGCCTAATGGGACCCTCTCTCCCCTCATCTCTCCAGGCTGATCTGAACAGCACGATCCAGGACGGGCCGGGGACCTTCTACGGTGTCAGCAGCCAGTACAGCAGTGCAGAGAACATGACCATCACAGTATCCACCAAGGTGTGCTCTTTTGGGAAGCAGGTCGTGGAAAAGGTGGAGGTGAGTTCCATGCCCTGCTGCATCGGGAAGGGGTAGGAATTGGTCCACAGCGGGTCCTGGGATGGAGAAAGCCCCAGAGCTGGGTGTAGGACATGTGGCTTCATACCTGTCCATGAGCGGAGTGGAGAGGACATCACTATGTCCCAGCTGGCCACCACTTGCCTATGCCTACATCCCATGTGACAGCTGCTCACCCTGGCTGTCCCCTGCAGACGGAGTATGCACGTCTGGAGAACGGACGGTTCATCTACCGCATCCACCGGTCTCCCATGTGCGAGTACATGATCAACTTCATCCACAAACTCAAGCACCTCCCAGAGAAGTACATGATGAACAGTGTCCTGGAGAATTTCACCATCCTGCAGGTACCTCCACTCCTTTTCCAGGGAATGTTTCCCACCGGAAGTGTGGAGCCCGCACTTGCATTGGCCCTGCCGGTCCTGGGCATGTGCTCCAGCAGCTCAGATACTCCTGGCTGTGCCTGAGCCCACACAGCCCCTGAATTCCAGGGAGCAGATCTTGATGATGCAAACAAAGTGGCTATGCCTGAGCCTGGACAAGTCTCCCAGATAGTGGGAAGCAAATTTTTCACGGAACAGTTAAATAGGCTGTGCCTGAGCCTGTTTGCCTTCCCCAAATAATGGGTAGCAATTTTTTGTGGTGCAAATGCAGTGGCTATGCCTGAGCCCATGCAACACTCTCCCAAACAACAGGTAGCAAATTTTTGGTGGTGCAATTCAGGCTGTTCCTCAGCCTGTCCCCTCCCCCCCCCCCAAAATTGGGTAGTAAATATTGACGGTGCAATTAAATTGACTCTGCCAGTGCCTGTGCAACCCTACAAATAATGGGTAACAAATTTTTCATGATGCAAAGTGGCTGTGCCCATGTGCATGAGCCCATGCAACCCCCTGAATAACTGCATCTGCCCACAGCACTCCCCTAACACGCTCTGCTCTGCTACAGGTTGTTACGAACAGGGATACCCAGGAAACCTTGCTCTGCATTGCCTTTGTTTTCGAGGTCTCCACCAGCGAGCACGGCGCCCAGCACCATGTGTACAAGTTGGTCAAGGACTAGGGGCACTCGGGGACAGGCAGGGGCACAAGGGGCGTGCAGGGGAGGGAGGGGGCCACGCAGAGTAGCCGCCCGTGCCTGTTGCCTTGTGAGAAGTCATTTGAAGAGAGGAGGAGGTTCAAGAACAACAATAGCCAAAAAAGACTGACTTGTGATTGCAGATGTTTTCTACTTAGGAACAGTTTTTGTTTTTTTTTTTTTTTAATAAATGAAAAAAAAACCAAAAAAACAAAGAATGAGAAAAGAAACATAGGGAGAAAGGAAACCCACATCCGGTGCTGGATGAGGAGAGACCGGTCCTCGGTGTTGCTGATAAAGGCCAGGATCCCACCGTGTCGTCACCAGCGGGATGTCGGAGCAGAGAACGACCCTTTCTTTCACCCCCACCCTCACTCAGAAGTGGTCCTGGTCCTGAGTGGAGAGGAGTGAGCACAGATGGGCTGGAGGAGGGGCATTGCACCAGGTCTGGTCCAAAACTGATTGGCATGGCAGCAGCAGTGTCATTGGCACAGCTTGGCAGAGCCCAGGTGGCAGTGGGGACCTGTGCAAGGCAGGAGCAGGGCAGAGCAGAGTGGAGGAGGGGGACATTGCTGCCTCCCTGGGACTGGCAGCTGGGGGCTTCTCTGTGTGCAGTTGGGGCACTGGGAACCAGTGGCAGTGAAGGCATGAGGGCATCGACAATGCAAACCATGTTTTTTTATGTCTCTTTCTTTTTTTCTTTTCCTTTTTTTAAGTTAAAGTGCTTTTTTAATACTTTTTAAAAGGACACCGTGCTTGTAATCGGGATGATGACCCTCTGCAGTGCCTGGGCCTCTGCCCCGTGCTGTGCTGGTGACCAGCAGAGGTGACAGCAGAGTTTACTGGGTTGGAGGCAACAGCGGAACTACCAGGCACGGGGAGTGGCTTGTGTAGGGAAGGCTCAGGATGTTTTCATCTCTGGCTGGTTTTTGTGTGGGATCCCCTGAGCTCTGTGTGGGCTTTCAAGGATAGCACTTGGGGGTGGCCCAGGCTCAACGTCCCTGCTGTGGTCACTTGCTGAGGAGTAGAGAGCAGTGAGGTTAGATTTGCCTGATTTACTTTGCATATATACATTTTCTTTGTTTCGGTTCTTTTTTCTTCACCTTTTTTGCCTTTTTTCTGTGTTGACTGTTCTGGATTGCTCTGTCCACTTGCCTGCATCCTGTGGGAAGTGGCCAGAGAAGTGGCTCGTGCAGGGAAAAGCATATTGAGCAACACAGGGCCAGGCTGTCAGTGGGCAGAGTTTAGGACAGAGGGGACAGAGACAGAGAGGGGACAGAGAACAGGAAGGATGCCAGGATAAGGGACTGGGTCTGCTTGGAGGAATTTTTATGGCTGCAGCCCAAAGTAAGCCAATGCAGCATGCCCAGCCCTGAGGCTGCAACTGCAAGGACAGAGGCTGGGAAGAGCATCCCCGGGGTGCAGGAGGGGCACAGAGAGACAAGGTGGCATGGAGCAAGGTGGCAGGAGGCTGGCAGGGGGACAGGGAGCCCGAGGTGGCCAGGTCTGGACGGATTTCTCGTGTTGGCAGGGGAGCGAAGGTGGCAGGAAATGCAGAGACCAGTGCTGCAGGGGGGGCAGGAGTGGTTTGAGGGGGGCTAAAGCCCAGGATGGGGAGACAGGGCAGGTTTAGGCTCAATGCTGCCAGGTGCAAAGGAGCAGGAACAGCCTCAGAGCCCAGGAAAGTGCCTTGGCTGCCACTGTGATGCCTTGTGTCTGGTGAGGCATGGGGGCTTTGACCTCTTGCTGCTGGGAGAAGACACCCATCCCTGTGGGACAGGGCAGAGCCATCCTGGCCCCACGCCCAGCTGAGGGCTCCGTGGTGGGACTGGACTTAGGCAGCTGCATTGAACAGGGCAAGATGGAGCAGGGTGGAAAGAGAGAGGGAAAAATCCAAGGCAAGGCACTGGAGTCCTATCCCAGTGCTGTGCCAGGGTGGCCTGGCTGAGTTCTCATATGTAGCATGTTTGTTTGTTGTTTTGTTGTTTTTTTTTTCTTCTTCCGTTTCACTCACTGATCTGAAACTCTGGGAATGAAAACTCAAAACTCCCCCACCATGAAACACAGGTGTGCCCCACTCCCAGCCCCAACCAGGGACAAAGCTCCTCATTAACTGGACTGGTTTGTGCCTCCACCCTCCCTCCATCCCTGCATCCCTCCATCCCGCCTGCACTGAGCCCCAGGGTGTGCACCCACACCCCAGGCACACGCTGACTGGTGCCCCCAGCAGCCCTGGCCGGGGTTTAGCCAGGATCCTAGAGACACTTTCTCAACTCCCCTGCCCCCCAGCCTCTCTGTTCTCCTCCAGTGTATTTATGAATTTCACATGAAGTACTGTTTTATTTTTTTAAAGACTTTGTAAAGCTTACCAGGGTTACAATCACCATTTTTAGAGCTGTGTCAGTCCACAATGTTAAAAATCCAATTTTTTATGTATTATATTTTTTGTGTATTTTTTTTAATCCAGCTGTGATGGGTTGTATCATATATTTGTTGTGTTTACTGTATCTGTCCAACTTCAAAGAGAGGAGACTGTAGAGCTCCGAAAAAACTACAGTCTGCTAAATAAATATTAAAATTATTTGTTCATGGGTTGGCTCAAGTGCTTCTGAAGTTCATATTTTATTTCTTGAGGTTTTCTTCAACAACCAGGACTATGAAAGCTGCTCTGTCCCATGAAACCCCATGGCTGGATAACGTTTCTCCCGCGACCCCCTCTCCCGGCACCGGGATGCCACATCCAGCTGTATTTTGCTCTGATTTGAATCACTGGTGCAGGGTTTGCTTGGGAAAGGTCGACCAACCCCATGGAAGACGCTTCCCTGCAATTCCCGGCAGCATCGCTGGGTTCAGGGACCCGTTTTAGGGGGTCGCATTCTCGCCCACGCCAGCAGCAGGTGGCAGAAGGCTGGTCTGTCCCACCAGTCAGCAACACCCCTCGAAGTGTGCTCGTAGTGCCTCGGCTGTTCGGTACACACACACCCGGTTCCAAACACAGGAGACAGAGATGACGTATTTTAACACCAGCTGCTTTCCCCCGTTCTGCGAGACACGCGTACCCCAGTGCTCCCAGTGCACCCCCAGCGCCCCCCGTTACACCCACCGGCCCATTCACCGACCCCAGCCCCAGACCCGGCCCAGTCCCATTCATCCGCCCGGCCCCAGACCCGCCCCAGTCCCATTCATCCGCCCCGGCCCCTTCCCCTTCCGCTCCGCTCCGTTGCCTGCCGGGACGCGTAGTAGTGTAGTCCGTGTAGTCCCCCGCAGCCCCGCTCCGCCGTCGTTCCGCTCCAGGTCCGCTCTCGCCCGCCGGTCGCTCCGCCTCCCGTTCCTCCTGTTGCTCCGGTCCCGTCCCCGCTCGGCTGGTTGCCCCGTTCCGCCTGTTGCTCCGTTCCGCCTGTTGCCCCGCTCCTCCAGCTGTCCCGCTCCGCCTGTTGCCGCTCCGCCTGCCTGTTGCCCGCTCCCCCGTCCCCGCTCCGCGCCCCGCCGCTGTCGCGCCGCCCGCCCGTCCCTCGGGGAGCTGGGAGCGGAGAGCGCCTCGGAGGGCTCGGCCTTGGTAGGAGACGCCGGTGTTTGCACTGCGCAGGAACGGGACGAGCAGCTCGGTAATGCCGCCGGAGCAGGCAGAGCTCGGCTCCCTCCCCCGGCCGCCTGCTACCGGCATCCTGGAGCCCCAGAGTTTCTCTTTTTCGGTTCTGAACAGGAAACTGGATAATCTTAGGGGGTCAGGCGTGAGAGAAGCGAGGGCTGGGAGAGCGCTGGGGCTGGGAGAGCGCTGGAGCTGTTTGAGGAGCTTCTGGCTCCTCCGCGGTTTGGAGTCTCCAAAAGGATGCGTGAGCTTCCCGAGTGGGGAGCTGTGGGGAGTTGTCTCATGCCCGTGCTTTGCATCTCCGTTTTGAAACCAGGGTGAAAGTCCATCCTGGACACAACTCACTGACAGACAGAAGGTTAAGCCCTGTACGCCATCCCTGGCCCACCGGTGTCCAAACTGGATGGAGGGTCACATGGTGGTCGGGGTACATGGATCCCTTCGTGGGGGCAAGTTGGGGTTCAGGATGGGCCTTGTGCACAGGAGAGGAGGGGTCAGGCCCAGGGTAGGCTGGAGCACCCTGAGCACTCCTTCCTGGCTTTTGCCTTGGCTCAGCCTTTCTGCTACGCCAGCCCGGATCCCTGGCTCTGTCCTGCACCTTCCACCGGCTCCCCGGGGCTGTCCCCCCAGTCTGCTCCCTGCAGGACCCCCCCTGCCCAGCGTTGCCCTCTGGTCCCCGCAAAATCCAGCAAGAGATGGAGGGCGATCCCGCCCTGCGCCTTCGTGTCTTTGACCTCAACTGCTGGTGAGTCCAGTGTTCTCCAGGGCTGTGCCTAGCTGCATGGGTGGGGACGGGGACACCACATTGGGAGAGGGGTCCCACTTTGGGTTTACCTTTGTGTCCCCTTCATTTTGGAGTCACACCACTCTCCTAGCCCCAGAGGGTCATGAGGTGCTTGCCTGGGTAGTGCCTCCAGTCCCCTCTGTGCCTGTTAACCCCAGGGAAGGTCCCCCATTTGCACCCCAATCAAGGATGAGCTGCCTCAGATCTGCAGGTAGGAGAAGCTGTCCCCAAACAGCCTCCCTGCATTATCCCTCTTGTCCAAATGGCCTCGCATAGCCCTTTCCCATCTGCATCCTGCTTATGCTGGTACTGGAGCCCTCTCCCCCCATTTTGGGTGGCAGTGTGCCCCAACAGCCCCCATCACCCCGTCCCTGCCAGGCTGTGACTGTCACCCCTCTCTGGCAGGGCCATTCGCTACCTGAGCAAACGGCGGCAGGAGCGCATCCGGCTCATCGGGGACATGCTGCGCCAGGAGGACTTTGATCTGGTGCTTCTTCAGGAGGTGAGGGCAGTTTCTGAGCCGAGTGTGCCCATTCCCAGCATGGGATGTGAGTGTGACTGTTCTCAGCCCATCCTACTGTTCTCCAGGTGTGGAGTGAACGGGACTACAGTGACTTGAAGGTGAAACTAGGAGGCTGTTACCCCTTCTCTCATTACTTCCGCAGGTGAGAAGGACAAGGCCAGCCCCCCAGGACTGTCTGTGGGGCAGTGGGCAGGGCTGTGCCATGTCCTATGTTTGACACATGTAGAGACTGGTGCAGGTGCTGTAGGTCACCTCTGTCACTGTGGGAGACCCCGTGTCTGGAGAGTGGGATGCTCATGGGAGCACACTAGGACTCAGGCATCCGTGGAGCCCTCCTGGCTCGGGGCTGGAGGGAGGCAGAGGTTTTAGGGACCACACTTCCCCACTGTGCTTTTCTCCTCCTGCAGTGGGGTGATCGGCAGCGGCCTCTGCGTCTTCTCCAGGTTCCGCATTCTGGACACGCTCCTCTACCAGTACTCGCTGAATGGGTACCCCTACATGGTAAGTGGGGCAGGAGGCATATGGCACCATTGTGTCCACCCCCACGGAGCCTCAGTGGCCCCAACCTGCTCTTCTTCCCCTCTGGCAGCTCCAGCATGGGGACTGGTTTTGTGGCAAATCCGTTGGCCTTGTCATCATCAGGATCTCAGGGATCATCTTCAACATCTATGTCACCCACGTGAGCATCCCAGGGAAGGACCCAGCATGGGGGGGGGACAATGGGAAGGAGGGAGATGAAGGGCCACTTCTTTGCTGTCCGCTTGCTTTAACCCCTGCTCTTCACCCTCTGTCCTGGACTATGCACTGATTTAATAAAATATTACTCAGGAAGGGGGGGCAGGGACACACAGTCTGGCTGTGCAGTGGGGTGAGCATCCCAGGCTGTCCCCAGGGGAGTGAGATAAAGGCAGAGGTGTTGGCCAGACCCCAGGTGAACCGTCTAGAGAGGTTGGGTAGGTTTGCAGGGAGCCTGGGAGCAAGGCAGGTGTTGGCATGGGAGTCAGCTTCTTTGCTCCCCTGCTCTCACCAGCTGCACGCCGAGTACTGCCGGGAGAAGGACGCCTACCTGCCCCACCGCCTGGTGCAGGCCTGGGAGCTGGCACAGTTCATCCGGTGAGCAGCCAAGGGGTGCCCCACAGGGTCCCCCATTGCAGGTCCCCAGGATATGTGCAGTCACCCCTGCCCCTGGGTATGCACTGCAGAGAGCTCCCAGCTGCACCAGTCCCAGTCAGGGGTAAGGCTGAGAAGCACTGGGTGGGTCCCAATCACTGCAGTCTGGTGCAGGGCAGCGCAGGGATGGGAGGTTAGCCATCCTTTCCCCTGCAGACACACCTCCAAGGCGGCTGATGTGGTGCTGCTGGGAGGGGACCTGAACATGCACCCCGAAGATGTGGGCATCCGGCTGCTGCGTGGCTGGACGGGGCTGCGGGATGCCTTTGCTGAGGCCGCACACTTTGAGGTGAGGAGCAAGGGCTGAGTGGGGTCCAGGGGCAAACCAGGAGGCCCCTACCAACCAAAGCGCTTGTCTCAGGGCTGTGAGGATGGTTGTACCCTTGTCCCCAACAACTGCTTCACGGACAAATCAGAGCTGCTGCCCTTCCCACTGGGCATCCGCATCGATTACATCCTCTACAAGGTAACGGGGAACCCTTCACCACCAGCTGTGAGTGGCGAGGCTGAGGAACTGGTGTGACCCCCTTGCACCCTCACCCAGGCCATCTCCAGCTTCATGGTAAAGTGTGAAGAGCTGAAGACCACCACAGGGGCAGCTCCGGGCATGGACGTCCCCTTCTCAGACCATGAAGCTGTGATGGCAACACTGCACATCCAGAGGCAGAGACAGGCTGCGGGTGCCACCCTCGCCACTGCTGGTAAGTTGGGGGGCTGCTGCCAGCGTCCACATGTGCTGGGAGGGCTGGTGGATGGACTGATGGAGTTGGATGGAGTTTTCTGGGGATGTTTCTCTTTGCGTAGGACATCCTTTGGGGTGGTGCTTGTGGAGTGGTGCATGGAACAGGGCACAGTGTGGGGATGCGAAAAAGAGGGGGTATAGGAGTGGTAGAGAGGGGTCCCACCCTCTTGAGGCCCCTTGTCCCCGCAGAGCCAATGCTGGTAGATGTGGTGACAGAGGCACGGACAGAGGTGGCCGTGGGGCTGCGGGCAGCACAGCGGCAGCGCTACTCCTCGGGCAGGATGGCCTTGCTGGCCCTGCTGCTGCTGCTGCTGCAGGCCGTGGCCGCACTGGGTGCGCTGGCAGGGCTGGACGCTGGGCAGCCCTTCCCCAAGCTCTCCTTCTGCCTGCTGGCCTTCCTTGCCATCGGCATCCTCCTTCTTGCCACTGGTCTCCACCTGTTTCACACCATGGAGGTGAAGATGCTGCACAGCACCGAGGAGCAGATGCGGATGGTGCTGCAGACGCTGCAGGAATGTCCCAGTGACGGCTGAACTGAGGCTGTGGGTGTCCCACAATACCCCTCCAGTGACAGCTGAACTGAGGCTGCGGGTGCCCCACAATACCCCTCCAGCCCCACTGTGTCCCTTTTTGATCCTTTTTTTAGCTGGCTTCTGGCAGCAGTGCAGCCAATGCAGTAGTGCAGGTTTGACATTTGCCTCTGAGAGAAATTAAGATATTGGGGGTAGATTTGTTGCACTGGCCCTTGTGGGAACTACGATGGACGTGGGGTTTTATTGCTTTTTAAATACACCCTTTGTACCTGGAGGGACCTGCTGGCCTGGTTGGGAGGCTTGAAAGACTCAGGCTCCCCATGCCTGGGGTGGAACGCCGGTGATTGCTCTAACAACCAGATTTGACTCAGATAGAAAATAAAGGTGGTATTTTAGCCCTTGGTGCCGGGTCAGGGGGGCTTTATTAGAAAGGAGGGGGGCTGCAACAGGATGGTAGGGCTGGTACAAACACAAGGGAGAGCTGGAGGAGACACTGAGGGGAATGGCAGGATAAGGGCTGAACACAGGGTGGTATTGCTAAGAACCCATGCCTGGGACCCCCGTCCCCAACATGTCTGGGGCTGCTGCAAGATCCATTCAGCCACAGAGGCCACCCTGCAACACCTGGAGACTCTAGAGGGGTCTGAGGTCTGTGCAAAGGCCATTGTGGCATTGCCAAGCAGGAGAAACCTGAAAGGGGCAAGGAGGACATGGCCACTGGCGTCCCTTGTCCTTGGTATCACAGAGTGATTGGGCACAATCTGGACAAAATGCCCTTCCCTGCCCCAAGGGGCTCATGGTGGGGTTGTGATCCTGGTTTCCTGCAGCAGCTGGGGACAGCGTGGACATGCAGAGTGGCAGGATCAGCCCAATCTGTCACTGGCCCCCACTTGTACAGCCAAATGTCCCTTGAAGAGATGGACAGTCCAGGCTAGGATGGATGCCCTCAGTTGGAAGGGATGTCCCAGGGTAGCTTCTAGGGACCTGTCCTGATGCTGCCCCTGCACATTTGACATCTCCCCTGTGACCTGCCTGTGGTGGCTACGGTCACCTCCTTGCTGCTGGGCACTCCTGGAGCCCCCTGCAAATCTTATTTTCAAGCAAGCACAAGGCAAAGGCAATCCAGCCACATGCGAGAACACCCTCTTTGCACCCCAAAGCTGGGGGCTTCTCAGTGTCTCCCCATGTGGGCATCCACCAGCAGGTCTGGCCCTTCCGTGACAGGCTTTGGCAAGCAGGGAGCTGGATTCGCCATGGCAGCTGCTGGTGCTTGCAAGCAGCTCAGGCATCACGACCATCACAGAGGCTGCTCAGAGTGATGCTTGTACCAGGAGACACACACACACATTGCTTGTCCCCCTAGGGAGGATCTGGTGGGTCCAGGGGCTGTGGGGATCAGGCCCGCAGCTCACTGAGCCGCTTCTCCTCCTGGATGTGGATGAGGAGGTTGCGCTCATTCACCACCTTCAACAGCTGCGCCAGAGTCTCCTGCTCAGCCCTGCAATCCTCGGGTGTCTTTAGGGTTTCTGTGGGTGCAGGGGGCCAGAGTAGGGCTGGGTGGGCCACAACCCTGGCCTGCTCCCCACACCATGCACAGGGACCCCCCTCCCATGGCAAGTACTGGCACTCACCCTCCCTGTTCATGTAACTCCGGAGCTTCTTATCAAGCTGCCACTGCTGCTCCTCCAGCTTCAGTTCCTGCACCCTGTGGGGAGGGAAGGAGTATGCTGAGTGCTGGGTTCGAGAGGGGCTGGGATGAGCTGAGCTCCCACACTGACCAGGGAACATCCCCCCGAGCCTTACGCAATCATGAGGTCTGACTCCTCAGTCATCAGACTGTTCTTCTTCTGGACCAAGTACAGCAGCTGGTTTGTCCACTGTGTCTGCTGGTCAGCTGGGCTGCCTGCAGGACAGGGAGATGGTGAGTGGGGTGCAAACCCCTGTCACGGGGGACACAGTGCTCCATCTACCTTGGTCTTACCATTCTCATCCCGGAGTAACTTCTCCAGTTTGATGCCCTCCTGCTCCAGTTCCCGGAATGTCACCTCAATCTCCTCCAGCCGTCTCTGGATGGCCTGCGAGGGAAGGGCAGCACTCGTCTGTGGGCTGGCACCTGCCATCACAAGGCCACCAGGAGCCAGATGGAGGGGACAGGGGATGGTGCTGGGCTGAGGACCCAGCTCTCCCCTGTGGGGGTTACCTGGGCTTTGCAGAACCGCTTCATGTGGGCTTCCCTGGCCCGGCGGGACAGTGTGTGCTCACAGGTGGAGTACATATCCTCTTTGCCCAGGTTCAGGCACTATGAAGAAATGGTGGCATGGGCAGAGGGGGGTCAGTCCCTGCACCAGGCACCTCCTGCCTCGGCAGACATGGCTGAGCCAGACCTGATCCCTCTGTGAGAGGAGATGCCAGCAAGAGCCCCAGCTACCACCTGTGCTGGTGGGGCCACTGCCACTCTGGAAAAATCCTCACCAACTCTGCCATGATGCCAAGGTCTGTGCCTTCCTCCTCTTTCTTCTTCTTCTCCTCTTCCTCGCTGTCGCTCTCCTCCAAAGCTGCCCAAAGAGAAAAGCCCTTTCAGGCTGGTGCCTCATGAGCAAGATGTGGGGTACAGCAGGTTACAGCAGGGTCCTGAAGGGACTGAGAGCTTTGCTCATCCAGAGACTCCAGCTTCTACCACCTACTTTTCTGCATGTCAAGTTCCTCCTCCTCCTCCTCCTCCTTCCAGCAGTCTTGACCCTGCCCTGGGGCAGGGAGGGCCTCAGGCACTGCTTGGAGCCACAGACGAGCTGGCTTCGGTGGAGGATCAGGCTCTGCTTCGCTGGTGAGATTCAGGGTGGACAGACTGAGCTTCTCCAGTGGTGTAAGGATGATCTTCCTCCTGCCCCCACTCTCCTCACCCTCCTCTGCCACCCCCTGGAGTTCTGCTCCAGGACCCTCCTCCTCCCTTGCATCCCCCCCGGGTTGTGCCAGCAGCTCTTGCTCCTCCACATCACCAGCATCCACAGCATCCTCCACTGCGCCAGGCTCTTCCCCTTGCTGTGGAGCCGCTGGAGTGGGCTGTAGGGGACCAGGCGCCCCCTCCTTGGGGGACACACATGGGCTCCCAGCATCCAAGGGTGGGTCGGTGGCAGCATCAGCATCCTAGGGCAGAGCCAGAGCAGAGGAGTGATGCAGCATGGGGGCCATGCTCAAGCATCCCCCTCCACATACTGTCTTTCCTCCATCACCTAGGTGATTTAGGGTGACTTACCCCTAAATCAGGCAGTGCTGGGGCCTCGTGCTGGGATAGGTCCATGCCAGGTAGATTGGGGTAGTGAAGTGAGCAGTAAAAATTACCTGGGGGGCAAATTCACGTGATGACCTGCAAGGTGGAGAAGTCCTGCCCCAAGCATCCCCTCTCCCCAAAACCCGCCTCACCATCCTCCTCGTTAAAGGCGTAGTCGCCCAGGCGCAGGGTGGCCCCACACCGGCGGCACTGGAAGCAGCCACGGTGGAAGAAATGTCCCTCGGCACTAGCTCGCTCCAGGATGTAGACATGGCTGCCACAGAAGTAGCAGGCATCGCTGTTCTCCCCTGCCCTCTCTCTCGGCAGCTGTGGGGGGAGAGGACAGGCCGGGGTGGCACCAGGGTCCTGGCACCCACCCTGCCCCGTGGCTTTGCTGGCAGCCATAGGTGTGCAGTGGGGGTTTTGCCCCTCTTGCAGAGACGGGTCTGGGTGCTCAGGTTGGATTTGCTGGCACCAGTGAGGGAGCGGCAAGTCTTGGCTCTGGAAAACCAGTTGGGTCAGGAAACAAGCAGGGAGGAGTCAGGAACCCGTGGGCGTTTGCTTGCGTAGCCCTGGTCCCAGCCCTTGGCTTAGCCCTGCCAGCCACTGGTGTGCCCCCAGTGCCACCTACATAGCTGAACCCCCCATCCCAGGGTGACACGAGGACCAACCTGCCCTGGGTCCGTCGTGGTGGTTTGCAGCGGCTCACGGGCACTGTCCAGAGTGTCTCCATCCAGCCCCACATCCAGCTACGAGCGACCCGAGGGGGAGGGTCAGCCCCCCACTCTCCCCCCAGGAAAGCTGCACCCCTGCAGAGCACTCCTTGGGGTGCCTGGGGCAGACCCACCTCAGTGTCCCTGTGGCTCCTCTTGGCCTCAGCATCCTTCTGGGCACTGTCCTGTAAATGCAAAGGGAGTGGCTAGGATGGGGAGGGGGACAGGGTTTTGGTGTGTCAGGAGAATCCGGGTGGGGGTCCCTCACGTGGGCGCGTTTGCGTGTCAGGTTCCGGCTCTTCTGCAGCTTGCTGAGGAAGAGGATGGCCCCTCGTGTGCCGTGGGGAGACAGTGGTTTCTTGCTGACCTCCTCTACCTCTGCACAGAAGGACACGGCCATGTTGGTGGGACCCACTCTACAAAGAGGGAAGCAGCCAGCCAGCCCCAGTGGGGCTCAGGATGGGACAAATACCTCCAAAATCTCACACCTGGTGAGGTCTTGAAAGCTTCATAAAACTGGCTGAGGTAGGTGATGAGGCCCAGGTGGTCAGGCTCTGTCATGGTGGCCATCTCAATGCTGGAGAGGACAGGCTGGATGCCCAGCTCCTGTTCTGCCATGTCCAGCATCATCTGGTGGATCTGAACGGCATCCTGGGTGCCCACAGAGTCAAAGTCCCTGGGGGGAGACACGGGTGCCATCAGGGTGGGCTCCGCAGGGGAGGAGGTCCTGAGGGGTCCCAGACACTCACACTAGATCAGGGCGGAAGCGGTGGATGAGGGCACAGAGGGCCAAGCCACTGGTCCAGGAGGTGGTGAAGTTGGTCACTGCCACGCCACGGTACCCAGCTGTGCTGGCCTGGCACCAGCTCAGCAGCTCTTCGTAGACGTCTCCAGAGGCTGCTGGGGAGGCAGCATATGTGTCTCCATCCTACAGAGGCAGGGGACACCCCCCCAGTCTGCCTCCCACTGCAGCATCACCGCTTTAATAGGGGAGGGGTCCAATGGGAGTGACCTGAGACTCCCCCTGCTACCCCCACAACCACCCCTGCAAGGCTCGATAAATTGTTTCATAAAGCATCTGTCAATATTTCATGGCTCAGCATCAGTGTGGGCTAGGAGGGAGGCAGCCTCCTCCCCAGAAGGCAGTGGGGGGCTGTGTCCCCACATGGGGAGCAGAGGGAAACCAGAGGTGCCACTGGGACAGAAACACAGTCAGACAGCTGAACACAGGCCAAGGCACAAGAAACAAGGATGGAGAGGAAAATCAGGGCAGGAGCTACTCGGGCATGGGCTTCAGGGAGGAATGGGGGAGCTGCTGCAGGGGGTTAGGGCAGGACTGGCTGCTCCTACCGGTGATGAGCCGGTTGTCACTCTTCCTCTTGTGGTCCACCTCCACTATGCCCACAAGGTAGAGGTCTCGGACCTGCCAGTGGGGACATGCCAGTGGTAGGTCACCACATGCACAGAGCCAATGGCACCATGCAGATGAGCTGGCCCTGGCAAGGGAGACACCTGGATCCCTCCATAACTCTCCAGAACCCTCCTGCATCCACAATGGACAATGTATTCAATGCCCTGGGAACTAACAGCTTCAGCCTTGCACCCTTTGGGGACTGGGAACCGTGCAAATTAGTGTCACCCTGACTGCCAGGGAGGCTGGGCTGGCTGGCTGTCCTGTGGCAGGAGTTGGCTGGGTACCTGGCTGGGTTTGATGGCCTGCAGGTTGATGTTGGGGTAGCGTGTGGCCGGGTCGATGCTGTACTGACTGATGTTCTTGTTGGTGTTGTCTGGGGAGGTCTGCGAGAGGTGCTGGTAGATGCTCTCCCTGGGTGCAAGGGAAAGGGCCTGGGTCACTGTTACCATCCTTGCCCACTCCAGAACCAGCCCAGCAGGACGGGGACACTCACCTCTCGGCCAGCACCTCCAGTGGGGGGGTCCCAGCTGCCCACCGCCGCACCATCCATGCTGCGTCAAAGGCGGCGAGGAATCCCCTTGCCACCCCAGTGCCCAGCGGCCAGAAGGGCTGCAAAGGGAAAGGCAGAGCTGGAGCTGGAGTCACATGGCCGGTCAGGGCAGCTGGGAGGAGGCTGAGAGCTGCGGGGCTTGGCTGGGGATGAAAGCGGGAGCGGCGGCAGACGCGCAGAGAGAGGATGGGTGGCTATCTCCTCCCCGACGGTACAGATGCGTCTGGGGAGGAGTTGGGCTGCTTCTCCACCCTGAACCAACCCCAAATCTCTGGTGGGGCTGGAGAAGGGGATAACCTCACCAAGGCATGCCACTACTGGGGCTTGGGGAGCCTGGGATGGGGTGCACTGGGCAGTTGGGACAAGAGGCACTTAGGGAGGGGGAATATATTGCAACCAGTGCATCTTGCAGAAAGAGACATGAGGTGGTGCTGCAGGGGGGACCCTCACCTCCACCAAGCAGTCGCCCACCAGCCCCAGGAGCAGACGAGCCCCATTGTAATCCCGCACCAGCGCCGCATTCTCCGAGCGTGTCATGCAGGTGAAGTCAAACATGTCAACATCCGGCAGGTCCCGGTGGTTGAGGGCAAACTCCAGTTCAGGCAAGTGGTAGTTGGTGGAGAAGTTGGCAGCTTCTTTGGCATAGCTGAGGAGGGCATCCCGGTTCACGTTCTCTGGGGACAGGAGGCTCTCGATGTCTGCTTTGTCCTGTGGGGATGGGTTGAAGCTGGCTGGAATGTGGGAGATGGTGTTTGCCCCTCAGCCTGGGAGCACTCAGATCTGGGGTGCAGCTGTGCCATTGGGCTCTGAGCCCCCTGAAAGGATTTTTCTTGTGGCACAGGCAACAGCTGCCAAAAATCCCACTATCCCAGGGGTATGCAATCAAACCAGCACACACGATTTGCATCCCACCTTCCAGGCTTTCAGTTGCCCATCACTGTGGGATCCCAGGGCCAGACCCTGCCCTTCTTACCTGGAGGATGACTCCTTTCTTGAGCAGGCTCTGCTTCTTGGCCGTCATGACAAAATAGTGAGTGTCGTCCTTGTAGTATACAATGTTTTCCAGGTCAATGCCTGGTGATGGGGAAAGGGCTAAGCCAGGGCCACAGGGAGCCCCTGCACTGAGCTCAGTCACCAAATGGCCCCTGCGATGGGGTACTATGTGGGGACATGCATCCCATCACAGGGGACATCCTGGGGCTGAGCCTCCAGCTGCATCAGGAGTCGACAGGGACTCCCAACACCACCTGTGCTGGGGCTGGGACCACCGACCCGTTTTGTTGTAGAGGTTCTGGAAGAACTTCTGGTTGTAGATTCGGGCCACACCACTGATCTCAGCCACCTTCACCTCGGCCTGGCTGTGGCGGTTGATGAAGTTGGTGGTGATGCCGATGGCCAGCTTCCCCCGTGTCTCCTTCCGCTTGAACCCTGCAGGAGAGGAGAGGTATGAGCCCCCACCCAGTCCCCCTTATTGGTCCACAGGTTGCAGGGACCCCTTTTGTCACCTTCAGGGACAAATTTGCCACCGCCAGCTGAGATGAGGACGTCAAACTGGTAGTGGGTGAGGGGAGAGGAACTGGGCTGCACCACAGCCTGCCAGCCACCTGCAAGGAGGGGGATGGTCATAAGTGTGCTGGTTCTCAGCTGGGACCTGCTCCAGAGAGGGAGAGGGTTGCATCTTGTTCCCCCCAAAAGGCATGCCCCAGGCTAGCAGAGGGACTGGGGGGCTCAGAGTGGCCACACGCAGCCCTGTTCTTGTCCCCAGGGATACCACGTACCCTGCAGCAATACCATACCTGCCTTGTGTGTGGGGGGAACAAGGCCCTCAAACTTCACACTGATGTGCACCTCCACCCCCAGGAGCAAAGCCACCTTCAGCAGGATCAGCTGGAGCTGCCGGATACCTGGGAGGGGAGAGGGGTACTCGGGGCTGCACTCCCTGGGCTCCCCACAGGAGGGTTTGCGGGGTTGCAGAGCTTCATCCCCCTGAGACTCACTGATGTGATCCAGCGTGCCGGTGCAGAAGCGCCCATAGAACTTCTTGGCACCCAGTGCCCGCAGGTCATGGATGGTGAAGGGCCAGAGATGCAGGACGTTGTTGCGGGAGAAGGAGTCCCGCTTCTCCAGCAGCACCACGCGGGCACCCAGCAGCGCCAGCTCGATGGCCGCCCGCAGCCCGCAGGGGCCGGCTCCCACCACCAGGCACTGCCACGGGATGGGATGGGCGGCGTGAGGGGGGCGGGCAGTCCCCAGAGCAGGGGTTTCAGTGAACCCCCAGGGACTTCAGCACTCCCGCAGGCAGCATGTCCCCGCTCCCCAGGTCAGGATCTGACCCTCCCAGCCCTTCACCTGCAAGCAGTGGTTCTCCCTGCAAACCAGGGGACCCTGTGAGGTGGCCCCACCACTCTCTGAACCTTGCCTTTGTCCAGGGCAATGCAGGTCTACTGCAGCCCTGACACCGGTTTGGTCTCCTGGCAGCCTCTGCACAGGGCTAGGGGATGATGGGGCACAGCAGTGGGGACAAAAGCCGTCAGGGGAACCCCAGCCCCAGGGGTACATCCTACTGTAGCATGCTCCTGTCTCCCAGAAAGGGCTTGTCAGGTCCCTCTGCCCCTTTGCAGCCCTCCCATGGGACATCCTCAGCAAAGAACAGCTGGGAGAAAGAAGGACACTGCTGGCTAGGTGGCATCGAGGTGGCATCACACCATGCAAAGTGGAGCAGCACTAGTTAACATTGTCCCATTAAACCCCATCAACCTTCTGCCTGGCACATCCTGCATCCCGCTGGGGTGAGGGGCAGAGTGCCTCAGGGGATGCTCTCACCCTGGGAACAAGGATACAGAGCAGGGAGGGACCCAAATCCCTCGCCCCATATCCTTGGTACCTTGGTGCTGGCACAGGCCTTGCCCTGGTCGTAAACCTTGTGCCCGGCTTTCTTATCCAGCTTGCTCCACAGGGCCTTGGCACTCCAGTAGTTGAGGGCAGCCTTGAGGCTGTGGTAGAGCTGCAGCCCACTGCCCTGCAGCCCCAGCTGCTGGCACAGCTCCCCAAAGCAGCCCAGCACCTCCTGGCACTCCCCTGCATGCAGGAACCTTTCAAAGATGGCATGGGCCACGTTGCCCGGCTCATCAGCTGGCACGCTCATCCTGCGTCACCCGAAAGCCTGGTGAGGAAAGGCAGAGATCAGCGGGGAGGGGACCCTCCTGGACCCCATCCCAAAACCCACCCAGTACCAGCCCTGCTGTCTCAGCACTAGATTTCCCAGCTACAGGTGCCGTTGGATGATGGCACTATCAAAATTTGGGCCCTTTCTGGCAGTGGCTGGCGGAAACTCCCCCGGATGCTGTACCCAGAGAGCCACGGTGTCATCCTGCCAGGGTGACGTCAGGGGAGGGGATGGGGAGGGCTGTGGTGGCAGTAAGTGGCTTCCTCCATACAGCGTGTACCTGCAGCAGCTGAGAGCAGAGCAAGCTGTTTTGGAGCAGACACCGCTTCCTTCCTCTTCACCCTTGGCCTTGCTGGGGGGGCTGGGAAGAGGCTCCTGGCTTTAGGAACCAACACAGCTGCCCCAAAACCCAGTAAGATCAGCCCTGGGGCAGGAGGCAGCAGGATTGGATCTGTCCTGCCAGCCTGGCTTCAGCAACTGGGAGTGAGGAGACTTTCTCCCTCGCCTCCACCTCTGCCACTCCCAGAGCAGGTGGAAGCAGATTAGCACAGAGGAAGCACCGTTGAGGAAACAAAAAAAGTCAAACCACCATATGAATGGCCCCATAATGCCAAGGAACCCAGGGGAAGGGTGGTGCAGCACATTTCCCCTGGGCACACCAAAACCCCCTGCCCCTGGCATGTCCCAGGAGACTGGCACTCCTTACATCTGTCTCCTGCTCCCAGCACCATCCCCCCCAGCATCAGCCCGTGCCACCCTCTGTCTTGCCAGCCCAAGCATGAAGAACAAAGCTTTGCCCTTTCCAGTCAGTCGCCAAGCCCTGGGGCTGTGAAAGGCTCCCCCACCCCAGCAAAGCAGCTGGTGGAGACACGGCACTGCCAAGGAGGATCCGGCTCAGGATTACGGAGTGCTCCTACCTTTGAACCACCGCTCTTTGCCCTCTTGCCACTCAATGTTACCTTGGGCACTTGGCGGCACCCCAAAGGTGGCAGCCACCCCTGCAGTGGGACACTGGAGTGGGAAGGATGCCATGAATGAGCCAAGCTGCCCTGGGGGGGGAGGCGTGGGGGCAGGGAAAACAACTTGGTTAAGCCTAGGCTTAAATTTGGGCTGGAAAGACTGAATTCTAGCTGTGTTTCAAGTTTGGTCTCACCCAGGAGTTTCCCAACACCAGAACTGTGCTTTGCAAAGCAATTCTGCAGGTCACCTTCCCTCCCAGCATCAGAGTCAGGAAATCCAGGCATTTTAACCTCTTCCTTCCTAGGCAGACATAGGATAAGGCATCCAGCCAAGCAGAGCAGGAGCTGACACCCACCAGACCCCAGAGTGGCAGCGTGAGGACAGAGGACATGACCTTTGCATTCGTGACAGGACTGTGAGACCTTGGGACAGCTTTCTGCTCTTTCCCTGAGTGCTGCTAGCAGGACAGAATGAGCCTGGTTAATTGAGGCAGCACTACAAACCTCACTGGAGAGTGTAGGCGTGCTGTCCCACCAGCCATCCGTTCTCCTGCCATGGAGGCTGCCCAGGCAGCACTTCCTGGCCAGGCACCACTGGCCCACGTGGATGGGTTTCCCCCCAGGAGCTCATGTTACTGCAGTGGTGCCTGCCAAGGTCACCATGCAGCAGCCCCAGGGAGATGGGGTGAAGGCAGCTGCTCGTGCTTAGAGCATCTCCTCCAGCCTCAGCAGCTCCTGGCTTCGAATAAGCCCATCTCAAGGCCTCTATTCCCACTGGACATGATGCTGGGAGGAGCACTCCATCCAGGAAAGCTTTCCAGCCCCTACACTTTGGCAGGGAGGCTCAGAGGAGGCAGAACAACAAGCCTTGTGTTACACCATTTCCTGCAGAAACAATGATCATGCCAGCACTTTGGCACACTCAAATCCCTTTGACAACTGCAAGCAAGGACAGAAACTCCTGGAAGAACTCATTTCCTGCAGGTTTGATGCAAATAAACAGCTTTCAGCCCACAAAGGCCAGTGGCAACAGAGAAGGGCACAGTACTGCTCCAGGCTGCCTCTGGCTCTGCTCTCACCCTCAATGCCTTTTGCATTTCTTCCCTTAACACTGCTCCTGCAAGCAGGAGGGAGGAGGGGGGGTTGCAGCCAGCCCTGACTCAGCTCATATCAGCTCTGGTTGGGGTGGCTGCAGACATGCCTATGGGAACATCACCCAGGTATGACACATGTGGAGCATCCCTGGAGCAGGGATGCCCCATCCCACTTTGCGGGCTGAGGTCTTCCCCTTACCCTTGCATGGAGAGAAGCAGCCTCCTGGGAGATGGTGGGGGAAGCTGCCTCCCCTTGGAGGTGCAGGACCCAGCCTCGGCTCCTGCGCTGCCGTCAGCAGAAGTGGGCACTTCTCCGGGACATTTTGGTGTTGCCCTTTGCAGGGGATCTACAAGCCACAGCCTGGCAATGTCCCAGGGAGCCCTGGACAGAGACAACACTTGGAGAGGAGCAAACCTGCCCCCCCGTTTTGGCTGCTCAGCCTGGCCTCCCCCGCTCCGCACCAGCCCCATGGACGGAGCTGCCTCTTGCAGCTGAATTTCAGCACAAAGGGGAAGTCTGCTTACAACCAGGCTTCACACCCTACATCCTTTTCCTCCTCCTGCTTCTCCCTCACCACAAACCACAGTCATCCCCACGAGGATGCCATGGAGCATCCCTCCATAGATCTCAGCAAAGTTCTTCCCACCCTATCCTACTCGGCACTGGGAGCACTGGTGGTTCTGGGAATGGAGTGGAGGAGGATGGGCAGAGGCTGCTGTCTTCTCCCTTGTCCTGGGAGCAGCAGAACTCAGGGGCAGGAGGGGAAGAGCAGTGACGATTAGCCAGGGGAACACCACTGCCCCCGAGAGAGGCTGCGGGGAGGGGGCAGGCAGAGACAAAGCGCTTCCCTGCCATGAAGCAGGGACAGGGACCCTCGTTCGACATCCCGGGGTCACTCAGGACACGGGTTCGGGGGGGCTGAGCCCCTCGGTTTTCGCACCCGCCTTGCGGAGCGATGCTGTCAGCAGGGCGGGCGGAGGGGACCGGCCGTCAGGATGCCGGCACCACCGTGTCCGCAGCCGAGCGGGGGGACATAGGGCTGGGGGGGCAGCAAGAGCTCTGACCCCCCCCCCCCGCCAAGGGATGTTCTGCCCTTCTCCACCCCCCACTCACCTCCACAGCCCCTCGAAGGGGGAAACTGAGGCGCGGACCGGGGCGTGGGGAGGGACCGGAGCTGCGTGCAGCCAGGCGAGGGCGAGCAGGAAACGAGCTCCGGCTTCGCAAGCAGCTGCCGGCCAGCCCGGCCCTGCCCTCCCCTCCTCTGCCCTCACCCTTCTCAGCCTTCCCTCCGTCCTCGCCCTGCCCGACCCTCCCCCACGGCCGAGGGGCTTTGTGCCCGTGCCCGGTACGGCGGGAGGTTTTGGAGCAGCGGGATGAGCGGCACAGCACAACTCCGGCAGGGTTTTTTGAATTTTGGGGTGAGAAACCAGACTTTTCGCAAAGCAGACCAAAAGATTCGGGTGATGAAGCCAAACCGCTTCACGTCCCGCCCCCGCCGCTGTGCTGCTCCCCCCGCAGCCATAAACTGGCCAGGAGGGAGCTGGAGCCATGGGAAGACCCGGGACGGGGGGTCTAGCCCAGTGCAAGCTCCAGATCCCGACCAGTATCCCAGACCACCACAACTCACGTGGAAACTTTTGGGCTGATGTTTCCACCTGGGTTTATCCGGGTGGGAATGCTCCCAGGGGGCGTGAAGGTAGCTTAGGGCGGGGGGTGGAGCTGCCGGGGTCACCGAAGATCACTCCTAGCTGGTGCTCTTTAGGGTTTTTGGTGTCCTTAAGGTGCTGCTGGACACTTGCCGTGTGCTGGGGTGGCACAGGAGCTCGCAGCCTGTGACTCACAGGGACAACCTGCCACGAGGCTGGGGGCGGTGACTCAGGGACACAGGGTGTGGGTTACGGAGGCCACCATGAGTCACCCGTGGCACTGCTGGCAGCTACGGCAAGCAGAGTGACCCCTCCATCCCTGGCTCCTGCAGCCCCCTCGGACCTCTTCCTGGGGCTCCTGGTGCAGAACCCCCTGCCATGGCCCTGCACAGCTTGGCTGGGCTGTTTTGGGCTCACAAAGTTGCTGGGTGCAGGCACAGTGAAGTCCATCTGTGTTTCAGGGCCACTCGGACGTGGAAACGGGGCATCTGAGTCAAACCAGGCCATTTTCCTATGCAGCAGAGTGGTTGGAAATAGCTCTCTCTGTTTGTAAGCATTTTGTGGTGCCATGGGAAAGGCTGAACAGGGACCTGCTCCTTCCAGCCCCAGCATTATCCCCCAGTTGGCAGCAAATGAGCATTAGATCTGAATCTCAGCAGGGACCGAGGGCGCGCGGTGGCAGAGGGCGCGTGGCCAGCACCATGGGACACGGTTCTACTGAAAGGCCATGGCTGTGGGCAGCCCAGTCTGTCCCCAGCAGAGGGGACGTGTGGGGGCACACCTGCACCCCTCAGTGTGCCAAGAATAGGCAAACTCACAGTGTCAGTGAGGACTGCTGCAGCTCCCTGAACCCTTCACGCTTATGTGGTGGTGCCAACCATACCTTAGATCCTACCACAGGGTGTTCCACCTGCTCCAGCATTACAACTGCCCCATTTTTCCTCTAACTTTTTATTCTAGAGTTTTGGTGATTTGTGGCATGGGGAAGGAGCAGTGACACCTCCCAGCTGCCTTCCCCTCCCTGGTCCAGCTAGGCCTTGGGCGATGCTGCAGACTGCAGCCGCTGCAGCTCTAGGACACGGATGAGGAGGAGGAAGGCGATGCTCAGGAGAAGCAGCCAGAAGAAAACCCAGTAGTGCTGCGGGAGGAAGAGCCACGGCCGCCACAGCTCCACTGCAGATCCCTTGGACCTGGGGAGAAGGCAATGGAGGACACTCATCATCCATGGGAGAGAGCAAATCCCACCTCCACCCCATCTGGGGATAGGGAGGGCATTTAACACAGCCCCAGGCCTTCCACAAACCAAAATGCAACAAGCCCGGGGAGGGTGTGGGTGACCCGCAATGCATGGGCAAAACTGAGGCACAGCAAGGTCTGGCTGAGGCAGCCAAACAACATTCTGGCCTTCCACCACTAAATCCCCCAGCCTGCTTCCCAAGTGCTGGCCACCTGGGGACCACAGAGAGTCCAGCAGCCGTAGGGGAATGCTGGGCACACACAGTGCTGCTCACGTCAGCCCAAGCTGCTCCGGCTCCTCATCCCCTGCCCTTGAGCCTCTGCCATCTGCCTCAGCCACCAGCTCCTCAGTCATGGCACTGCCCTGGCCCTGTGGCTCCAGTTCACTCCTGGGGAGGGAGAGGACAGGGTCTGTGCCATCCCGCATGGGCCAACAGCAGCCAGTACCATGACTGCCCTGCCACCAGTTACCTCTGGGTGCTGGGCCAGCGCTGGGCCCCCTCTGGCTCCGTCTCACCTGCCAGGGCTGCTCGGCTGTCAGGGCTGGCACCTGGCTGGGCACCAAAAGTAGGAGCATCAGTGGGGACTCAGACCCCCAGTAGTACTGAGCCTGGGGACACATGCCCAACAGCAGGGCACAGCTCTGTGTGTCCCCCCTGCACATGTCCTTACCAAGAGCTGCTTGGGGATGACAGCGATGCTGACTCTGCGGCGGGCAGACCCCTGCAACAGAGGGGCTGGGGGTGAACACCACACCGGCTGCTTCTCATCACCTCCTTCCCTATCACCTCCCCAGCAAAGGCAAGGGACACCGAGGAGAAGGGACACTGCCAGCTCCCACTGGTCCTGCACTAAGAGGGGAAACCGGAAAGCCAGGGAGATGAGGGAAGGTCAAAGCCAAGGGGTTTGCGCCTGTCATTACTGCTACAAGCTGTGCTGGTGGGGCTGCCTAACCCCCTTCCCGAGCACTCCCCTACCTCTTGAGCTGTAGGGGAATCAGTGCCGAATTCGAGCTGGTGCTAGAGAACAGCCAAGCCTGTGGTTCTCGAGCTATGACCCTGCAATGCAGAGAGATTTGCCTGAGATCTCCTGGACAAGCAGCCACGGGAAACCTTGTCTGTGTCCCCCCAGCACTTTGAGGCTGCCCCTACATTTTGCCTTATCCCCAGCACTTCTAGCACATCTTCCCTGCAGCAAGCAGCGAGCCAGAGTGGCATTGCCTGGGGACTAGGGGGTGCATTGGGACAGCCAGCCAAGGGAGAACAGCAGGGCATGGGGAGGCAGTGGCTCCAAGATGGCTGAACTGGACCAGTTACCTGCTGGAAAGTTCGCTTCAGAGGGTGAGGCCTCAGCCGTGGCTCCACATCATCTGGGAGCAAAGAGAAACCACCTTACATCGTCCCCCGACACTAAGAGGGGGCTGATGTGCAGGCAGTCACAAACCTCCCTCCCATCAAAAGCTGTCCTGGTCATTTTCTTTGTGCATGGCAGGGGTGCCCTGAGCAGGGGGACCTAGTCACGTGCACAGCAATGGCACATGTGGGGCTTGGTGTCCAGGGACAGAGAGTTCTTTGTGTGCACGAGGCCCCCCTGCCCCGCATTCCCAGCTGGGCTATGGGGGGATGGCTCTCCAGCCACCAGCAGCTGCTCCCACGCTGCGTCTGCTGTTACAGTGGCCCCTTGCATCTGTCATCAGGTCCCAGCTGTTCCCCCACCACTGGTCCCCAGCTCACACAACCCATTGGCTCTGTGGTGCAGGGTCACGCTGACCCCCCCGGAGGGGTGTGGGACCAAATCCTGCAGGGTTGCTCTTTGCAAACCCCATGTGGGCCCCCATGGCAGAGCCCACCTCACCCTGGGTCTCTGCCAGCTGCCGGTTGCGGGAGTTCTGCTGGATCAGGCGCTTCATCTCCTCCAGCTCCGCGTGCTCCCGCATGTGGTGCCGCTTCAGGTTCTCCACGTGCTGGACCATCACCTCTGCTGCTCGGCTCATCCGGGCCTCCTGCAGCCAGGCAGTATGGCAGATTAGGGCCCCCATCTCCTGGTCCCTAAGGAGCCAGGTCTCTGCCAGTCCCTCCCTGTGCATCCCATAGTGCCTCCACTCAGGGAGTGCAGATACATCCCCTTCCTGCTCCCGAGGACAGGCAGATGCAGCCTGGTACGTGCAAACATGAGGTCAAGGCCAGCACCACGAGGAGGAGGGACAAACCCCAGCATGCCCAGGGATGGGTCCCCAAGCCCAGCTATAGCACCCTCCATCACTCCTAGCCCTGGCAGGGAGCTCTGGTTGTGCACAGACCTGGTGTACAGCCCCCAGCTTCTCCGCAGCGCTGGTTGCTCGCTCGACAGCTGCCGACAGCACAGCCAGGTTGTGCTGCAGCTGCTCCAGCATCTCCTTGCAGCCCACACTGGCACAGGATGGACCCAGCCTCTGTGGGGGGAGAGAATGGAGCTGCTGGAGCTGGGACTTTGAGATGTCCAAACCCCTCCCGGGCTGGATGTCTCCAGCACATGCCAGCCCCGTGCCCACCTACCTCCAGGGCAGCCCGGCACTGCCCCAGCTCCTCCTGGATGTTTTCCTCTGCTGCATCCCGTGCCCGTTTCTCCACCTGAACCCGTTGCTGCAGGGTGAACATGTCACAGCGAAAAGCCAGCGCGAGGTGGGCAAAGGCTGCCTGAGAAATGGGGGGCGAGAGATGGGACATGGGGCAGAAAGGAAGCCACCAGGACAATGTGCTGCTGTCCTCAAGGCACAGAGAGACCTCACAGTGTGCCACCAAACGGGGCAGTGCTAAAGACATTTAGCACTTGCCTTTCCCCAGCACCAGTTAGGTTGCTGCATGCTGGGCACAGTCCCTTGAGATGCCAGCCTGAGGAGACACGTCTCCCAGGCAGCCGATAACGCACGGAAATCCCGAGCCCTCCTGGCAAGAGCACGCGCCGGGCAGACGCCAGCCCTCGCTGCGGGTCCTGGCTGATGGTGGAGCCTGACTCAGCCCTGGCACTCGCAGGGAAATTATTTTTATTATCGTGGCTCCCGCCAGCTCCCCAGCTAAGGGCGCTCTTCAACAGCTGCAGAGCACTTTGTAGGATTGCTGGGTGCTCAGAGGACAGACTCATCTTGCCATGGAAATGCAGCTGCCTCCAAATGCCAAAAGCATTGCTGGAAAAGGGTTTATAAGGTGTCTGCCAGTGGACTGCGGTGCCTGAAGGGTGTCCAGGAGCAGCACAGCCAAGGGACTCTGAGCCAGCAAGGTGTCCATCCCTGTGTCCCCCTTCCCTAGCCCACCTGCAGCCCCTGGCAGCCCTCACCTCCAGATCCTGCTCTGTCAAAGCCACCCTGCAGAAAAAGAAGTGCTGTCAGGGACAAAGGCATCATGGGGGCTGCATGCTGAAAATGCCCTTGTTCTGCCCCCAGGGGTGCCAGCCACCACCAGAAGTGGGAAGCCAAGTGCCCGCTGCCTGGACAGCAACTCTTATGCAATGATAAAGGAGGAAAGTCCAATCTCTGGACCATGTGGTGCCCTGGTAACCCCTGGAGAGATGCAGGTGCTCACTGGTTTTACCTGTGCAAGCCTAGTCTGTCCAGCACCGAGAGCTCACTGGGGAAACTCAGCACTGGCTCCTCCAGGGTTTCTGCACCTGCAGGGAGGCAGGGACACCACAATAGACCACACATGAGAACTCCTCAGCCTTCCCTCCTCCCTCTGCCTTTCTGTCCTGGCAGGGAGCAGGTGCCCCTGGTGTGGAACCATCCCAATCCTTCCTCTAGCATCAGGGGGCCTTCAGGTCCCCCCAAGCCAGCCTCCCCTTCCCCATGTACCCACCAAGTGAGATGACCCCATCAGAACATGTTCCCAGACTCATCCACAGCTACTTCAAACCTTCCCCTAAAGGGACTCAGCTGGGATGTGGGATGGGGATTCACCCACCTTCTTCAGTCCTGTCACTGTCCCCGGTGTGAGCAGCCTGCTCCTGCCTGTCCGTGCCTGGCACCTGGGAGGCACAAGGGTGCTGTCAGAACAAACCTCTCCCTGGTGCTGCATGGCATCCCAAAAAGACCAGCACCAAGAGGCTGAGTCCAAGGAACTGGGGAGGGAAGGGCCCCCCCCCAATCTGTTAACCTCCCCTCCCTCTCACCTCACTGACACGCTCCACACTCTGCTGGCTCCCAGCCAAAACCCTCTCTGGGTGCCTCTGGGGACTGCTCATCCTGCCTGGGGACAGAAAGGGTGGTGGGAGCTGGGCACCAGGGTCCCCCTCCCAGCCTGACACCACTTCAGAGGAGACCACTGAAAACATCACTGGCATTTTGGCGGCCTGCAGGCTCACAGGGGATGTGAGCTGGCAGGTGCCCTGCAAAATATCCCTGTGAGATTAAGGGAGCTGCTGCTAGGCTGGGCCAGGGCAGGGGGAGGAAGGCAAGGTGCAGAGGGTGGATTACAGCTGGTGAGGCAGATACAGGGGAGAGGGTTGGGGTCCCAGGGCTGGAAGGGGTTGCAGGCAAGTGCTGCCAGGCCAGGGGACACCCTCCTGCTGCTCAGGAAGGGAGGGTGCAAAACCCACCACTTTGCCCCCATCCCCACCCTGGGCTGCACTTACCTTCATCTGGAGACGTGGGGAGCCCGGACAGCTCTGCCTGCTGCTCCCTGTGGAAAGAAACCTGGGTAAACCCTAAAGAAACTCAGAAAGCATCGGCAACATCCCACCCCTCACCCTCCCCCCACTGCCACGGCACCCTTTGGTGTTGCTGCTCCGGACCTGGGTCCTTTCCGAGCATCCTCCACAGCCTGTTCCGTCCCCATCCCCGCTCTCCCTGGCACGGGTGCAGCAACCCCCTCCACTCCTGCTGCTGCTGCAGAGCCGCCACCGAGGAGCCTGCCGAAGCCGTTTCCAGCCAGCAATGAGTCACCGGCCCGCGGCCGTGCTTTTCCTCAGCAGAGTCTTTTTTTTCTCGCCCTGGCTGCCAAGCCGACCTCACTGCAAACTGGCCTCTTCCAGCACCACAACGAACCCAGCTGCTGACAGAGCCCAAGCACCATCTCACATCACCCCCTGGGGATGGCAGGTCTGGGTGCATGCTTTTGCCCCCCTAAAAGTGCATTGGGATGGCCTCATCACTCCAAAACCCTGCCTTGGGTGCAGGAAAGTCTGGCAGCTCTGTAGCATCCCTGCTCACTGGGGCCAGGGATGCTGGAGCTCGCCAAGGATGGCAGGTCACCAGTGCATGGAGATACAGGGGCTGATGTGCAAAGGGCCTCTGTGGCACCATGCTGGATCCCAGCACACAACTTGGAAAGGGTTTGAATCCCCAAACTTTGCCCTTAGCTCTGGAAAGGGCTACAGCAGGGCTTTTCCCTCGCCTCCTGGCAAGCCTGGGGGTCATGCCCTGAGAGCAGTGGCTGCAGGAGAAGAGGCTGCCATGCCAAAATGACGCTCAGTGTCCCTTGCCTGGCACTGCCATCCCCATCCCATCCTTGCCAGCACCCCAAGAGCCACAGGGTGAACTTTTTGTGCACATACCTCCGAGGTGAGGGGCCCGGTTGGCAGCTCATTCTCTGCCGCTGCCGCCGCCGGCGCCCCTGGGTGAGTCCCTGCGCCTCCTCTTCCCCCTCTCCCAACGAGGTCCCTGTGAGTGGCTTCATTTGTGGAACACAGAGGCTCCAGGACCAGCACACCTATCATGAGAGACACACAGTAGCTGTGCACAGATGGAGAACGCCTCTAAATGTTATATTTTTAAAGCATTTTCTCACCCAGCAGGAGCTCCGAGCTCCTCTGCTTAGCATGGGGGCATGTGGGAAAAGAGGTGGGGAGGCCCACTGTGATTCAGGAGGAGGCTGGTGGGATTCAGGTGGGCATGGTGCAAGGCAAATGAGGAATTTAATACAAGCCCCATTTGTGGGCAGTGCCGAGGGTGGACTTTTGCCTGGGGCTTGTGATGTGGGTCATCTCTGTGTGGGGAGGTAACTTTGCACCCACCAACCAGTGTGAGCACCTAGTGCAGAGTGAGAGCGACCCACTGTCCCCCAGGCTGCAGACAGAGCAATCTCCAAGCATCTTCCTGCAACACTGGCTCCCAGAGAGACTAATATGAAAGATTTCCGAGTCTAAGGGAGCTTGGACAACTCATTTAAGCTGTTTTATAACATTTAAAGAATTAGAGAAAGATGCAGAAAGCCCACAGAGTCCCTCTCCCAGCCCAGGGTAAAGTCACTGTGCAGAAGGGACTGTCCCACAGGACACATCTCCTCAGAGGCTGTTCCCACAAACATGCAGATATGGGGCAGAAGGAGAAGTTTTCTGGCCGGGACAAGAAATACAGCAGAAGTCTAAGGGGACAGAGAGCAGGGACTGCTTGAAGCCCCCCATACCTGTGCAAAGCCTTGGCCGAGCTCAGTCTAGGTCACCCCAGCATCGAGCAGGGCCATCAGCCGACTCGCAGAGCCTGATGAAGGTGTAAAAGCAAGCAGCACTTGCATCTATCGAAGCCAGTCCATTTCATGCCCATACACTGGGAATTGTCGTTGACACCTTCACCCCCCTAGGGGCTCAGGAGCCCCCAGCCACTGGGCATCAGCCAAACTCATCACACCAGCAAGCATCAGAGTCCTCTGGAGGGCTGGTCCCTGCTGAAAAGCGCTTGCTCCATCACAGCAATGGCAGACCCTGCTGTCTCACTACAGCTCTGACAGCCTCACAGACACTCACTCCTATCTTTGTTTTACGGATGGAAATACAGAGGCACATGGCTGGTTTGGCATAAGTAACCCCCTGGAGAACCAAACCGAGCGCTTTCCCTCAGCTTGGCGACTTTACCAAACGCTCCCCGGGTCATTACCTGCCTGAACTCGTCTCAAGCAGCCGAAGGCAGATGCTGGGGCCACCCATCTCAGACCCAGCACTCAGCGCTGTTGGGCCCCCATCAGACCCAGGAGGGGGTCAGGGGACGTGGTGTGGCCGGCAGATGGTGGGTTGGGGGGTGCTGGAGCCCCACACGGTGCAAGCTGCCAGCAGCAGAGCCTCCCCGGAGGGGAGAGCAACTGCATCTGCAGCAGAAGGAGCTGCCAGGGACAAGCCAGATGAGAGAAGGCCTTTAAAGGAGATGCACAAGAGCAGCTGGGAGCTCCCTGTGCCGGCCGGGGCGGGTGGAGTGGGCTGCAGGTGGTCAGGTGACCTCTGCTTTCGATGAAAGGCCAGTTCCTGCACCCACTCTTAGGAGGTGACAGAGCTGGGAAAGACAACGGCTGCTCCCTCTGTGCCGGGTGTCTGTAGAGCAGAGCAGTCCTGAGCAGAAGGCTCAGGGCAGGGTGGTGGCACTCAGGACCTCCACAGAGACGGGGGATCCCCCCATGCTTTCATGGGAGACTCAGCACCAGGCTAAACCAGGATAGCTGATTAGGAACCCCTGTATTAGGTGATGCAGGGAAGCCATTCTGCCCAGGCCCCCCATTCCTCCTGCTCCTCTCAACAGTCCTACTTTCCAACCAGCCATCACCCCACTGCCCTTTCCCCTGCCCAATTACTTTACTCAAATCCATCACATCCTCTAAAGCAGCTTTCTTCCCCTAATGAGCTTACAGAGTCAGATTCGATGCTCAGCACTACCAGGCTAAGCAGGCAGCTGCTGTTGCCCCCCCTCTTTGTGCCCAAGGTACCCTGATGTACCCCAAGGAACAATGCAGCCCCTTGGGGGCTGCAAACCTCTTAAGCCCTGAGAGGGTAAACAGCATCTCCCAGCCCCGGGACAGACCTGGCCCAGCCTCTGCCCTGCCTGCCAGAGCAAGAGGCCAGGGTGTGGCCCCAGGGCCAGAGGTTACAAAACAAGGGGGGTAGAGGACAGACACCTTTGCACAGAGCCCTGGCTTCCTCCCCGGGAGCAGCAGCCTGGCACCAAGCAGCAGATGAGGCTCTGTGGCCTCTCCTGCAGTGTCCTGGCAGGTCCACAGCTGCAGCAAGGTGCTCCATGAGGGACACAGACCTAAGGACACCATCACACTAGCTCCCCTATTCCCTCCCACGCTCTGGGGAGAGTTAATAAGAGGCAGTGCCCCTCTTTGCAAACCATCCCATTCAAACAGCCTCTAAAGCATTTACTTAAAGCACCCATAGATTTTTTTTCTATTCTTATTTTTAGCCTTAGAGCATCTAAATTGCTATTGCAATCCAGGTTATCATAGAGCCTCAAACAAGAAAAAGCAGCCCAGCTCCCCTCACACAGACCTGATCAGTGGGAATGAACAAGACCCTGCTGGGAGTTCTCCAGCCCAGGGAGGTGAGCACGTGGCTGTGGGATCTGGCTTTGCCCCCTGTTCTCCTTCCAGCGAGGTCCCTCCGGCAGCGCAGCAGCTACTGCAGCAGCATCTTCCAGGGCTCCTGCTGAAGCTGAGCTGAACTTGCAGCTCAGATTGCAGAGACTCTGGTCATCTGGATTATCCACTTCTTGGAAGAAAGCTGCTCACACCGACACTGGCTGCTACTGCTGATGTGGCAAGCGTGATTTATTAGGTCTGTGCAGGGGCCCAACAGTAAAACAACAGCCCAGCCCTACCGCAAAGTCACCTTTCTGAGGGCCTGGCTCCTCAGCCGACAGGGACCTGGCAGCAACCAGACTACCCAAGGGAGAACATGGTTCTCTTCTTATGATAAAAAGGTTGTTGGCAAAAGGATGAGAAGGATAAATGTTCTTTTTATTCAGTTTTAAATTCCAAGTTAAAAACAAAAAAATTGCTGAGCCTTCCCCAGAGCACTTCAGCCTCACATCTGGGTGTCACAGCCCCCAAGTTTCCATGCAAAGCAGCATCAGCACATTGGGGATTACACACAGGCAATTAACAGGCTGTCACTGGACATGCAGTTACCTCCAGGGAGAAGCAGGGTGACTACTGGTCCCTGACACTGCTGCAAGAGGGTGACACAGCAACTACCTGGACATGCCTGCAGCTCCTGCTTGGAGAGGGGCAGCCCCTTGGGGATCGATATGGACCATTTTCAGGAAAGCTGCTGAGTTTCAGCCCTTTCCAACAAGCTGCTGCATGGCCCAAGGCTCCTCCAGGGCTCTGATGTCTGGTGTTTAATATCTGTGGATGCAGTGTTCGCACACCCCTGCCCATCCCAAGGAGGTTGTCTGCTGCCCGATCATGGCACCACGATGGCACTTGGGGAGTGGAGGGATCATCTTGTCATGAAATTGGTTCAAAAATTACTGTGGAAGCAGCAAAGTAGACAGATAATTCATGCAATCATATATTATGAATTTCCTTTAAAAAAACCAAAGAACTAATAGGCCAAAAAGGGAATTCCCCACTGAACTATGAAGGAAGTAAATCTCTACAGAAGAGGAAGCAGATAAGGAACCACTGTCAAATATCACAAGTAGACTGGCTGAAAATTATACACCTATAATATATGCATTCAACATCCAGCCTAAGAAAGGTCTTGGACAAAGCTTCAGACAATTCTCTTCACCAATACTGCTATTAAATCAGGACAAGGGCAAAGCCAGTCCTGGTGCTCCCTCCACCCTTGGTTGGATAAGGTTCTGCTAAACTATAAAATCTGACAGATGTTTTATGCTGCATGCACCTCTTTGCACTGTTCAAGCTGGATTTTAAAGTTCTTGAGGGTCAAGAGGAGTCAAAAGTAAGGTTTTCTGTATGGGTGCTACCAACTGCCACATAAACAAGCAGTCTATCACCAGCATGTTTAGTGTCTCTGGGGTTTGCTCCAAATTCTCCTTACACAATTGTTATCTGCACATACACCCTAGAAGAATCCACAGCACATGATAAGCAGCAGCCAAGAGCAAAACCAGGGCTAAGAAGGCTCTGTCCACAAGCCAGAGTAATGCTTCCCAGCAGAACAGGAATCCCCCTTGCAGTCTGCAAAGCTGATCCCTTCCTGACTACCATTTCTTGCAAAACCCACATAAGCTGGCCCAAAGCACAGCTCCCGCTGTGTCCCGACAAGTTGGAGGCACAAGCTGCAGTGCAGCAGCAGCAGCCAGGAACTGTCACAATGAGCCCACTGCCTAAAGATAACACCAAGGAGTTACAACAGCAGACACCCCTTGGGGAGCAGCCGTGCGCCATGGCCGGAAAATTTCCAGCCCTTTATCACTGCCCAGTCCACAGAGACACTGAGGCTTCCCCACAGAGCTCCAGGTACACCCAGCATGTGCATTCTCAGCAATGACACTGGGAAGCTGATTGCCATGAATTTTAGAGATCAGTTTGTCCTTGGTCATCTTCACATGACCGACAGCCACGGCCAGATGGAGCAGTGGGGACAATGACACTGAGGTCACTTGGTAGAAGCTCTGCAGGGAAACTGCAAAGACCAGAGCCTGCTACCTAATAAAGCCAGAACAGCAGTCTCAGACCTTGATGATCATGGCACAATTTCTATTTATGTCGTATTTTGGGCAGCCCTACAATAGCTTCACTTTACTGAGCCACTAACTCAGTGGAATGCAAACACAGCAACAATCCAGCTCCCTGGAGGTTTCTGTCTTCCAGCTAATGCAGACTTTGAAGCCTCATCAGTCCACTGTCACCTAAAATAGCTTAAGAGATTCTTATATAAAGAAATCTGTGCTCTCAGCCTTAAGAGCATCACCTAATGCTTCAGAGTTTTCTTCCTCTGGCTGGATCTAAATGAGCAAACTTAAAGCAGTCACATGTCACACCTACAAGTTTTAGTTCCCTTTCTCCCTTTGTAGATGTAAATGTTTATGGGTTTTTAAATAGCTCCAGAACTATGCAACACTTCTAACCTTCATTAAAACTCTAGCAGTACCTCCTGAGTCCATCCACTCTCTCCCATCCTTTTCTTCCCAGCTCCCAGACCAGGAGGTGCCTAAATGAGGTTTCCAGCAGGTATTTTCAAGGATACAGGATAGAACTTTGGGCACAGTCACACTATAGAAGCACTTTTTATTAGAGTATCATTAAACATCCTGCAACGGGAAGTGTCATCATCCCCAGAAATGTGTCACACACAGCAGGGTCCCTAGCAAACAGGAAAAAAAATGTGGATTTAAAGCAGAAAATTTAAGTTTCCCAGCTCTTCAGCTAAATCCCACTCTCTTGAACCCAGAAATCTGTAAATCCCAGACGATCAGATACACAGCGCAGCAGACCACCACCACACTGCTCCGAAACCAGCTCAGCTCTCGGAGAGGAACGCTGACACATGCAGAGCTTCTGCCTTGGAATGTGACAATGTAAAATCAGGATAGTGAATTAGGTCCAGAATTATTAGCCTCACAGAGCCTCAAATCAATATCTGTCCCGGTTCAGCGATGTGTTTTGGACATTAATAACTCAGAATCTGCGAACTCAGTCCCAACAGCCCCACCCGGCCGGCATCCTTGGAGGGGCGGGGCGGGGCCCCGCATGTTGAGTGCGCTGGTTGGGGGCCGCATGTTGAGTGCGGCGGGGCGGGGCTGCATGTTTGAGTGCGGCGGGGCGGGGGCCGCCATGTTGAGTGCGGCGGGCCGAAGGGAGAGCACATACAGAAACGCCTGGAAACACGTTAATTGTTCAAACAAGAGCCCTCACCTTCGAGCTCCGGGGATGTGGGAGGCTGGGATGGCGCTGCCCAGTGATAATACCCTCACATCAGATGCTGCCGTGAGGCTTTGGGTACTCTGTGGGGCACAGACCCCATCTGTGGGGTCCCACCCCACTGGGGGAAACCCATGAAGGGTGCGCTGCAGCTGCCACTGCGCAATGAGTGTTCTCTATGCAAGGAACCTGTCACCTCACAGTTCCCTTTGGTGGTCACCTAAGAAAAGAAGAAGACAAATCAAGAACAGGGAAGCCACTGCCATTCACACCACGGCATGGTGCCAGCACGGCTCTGGCACAGCTCCATCACGGCATCTGTGGCGCCTGCTGGTTTACCATCGCTGGGGCAGCCTAGAGCAGAGAGCCTGTCATCCCCCATGAGAGAGACCCCTGCACCCACCTCATCTGGCCCCTTCCAGCACAGCCTGTAGTGATTTCTTCAGAGCTGCATTGCTCTGATCCAGAGCGGCAGCCAGACTGCTCCGGTGAGTTGGGGTGACCTGGGATCAAGAGAGTGTGAGTTTGGAGCGCTGCCCTGCCAGGAGCCCACCTGAGACCATTGGACCAGGTCCCAGGCCAGCTGCAGCCCTGGCTGCCGGCTCACCAGCCCATCTGCAGGACCTGAGCCTGGTCTCGCTCACCTGGCTCTGGTACATGGTAAGCATGGCCGTCACCAGCTTGGCATAGTCAAGCGATGTGGCAAAGGCTGAGGCCTGCCGGCACAGCGTCAGGACCAGGAGATCCAAGAGCTCCGGGGGCAGCACCTCCTGGAAGAAACCCAGGAGCGGGTAGGAGAACTAGTCCTTGCTCCAGCACTGCTGGAGTCAGCGAGGAAACCTGGGGGACAAGGGCCCTCTCTCACCTGCCGCCCCAGAACGGCCTGCACTACCGGCAGGAGCTTCTCTGACAAAGGCATCTCCAAGACTTGGCTAAAAGTACAGTGAAGAGAAGACGTGCTGCTTCACGGCTTTGCTGGTGCTCCCGAGTGGCTGGAGCCAGCTGACCCATCCAGGCAGGCATGAGGCCAAAGCAGCACTGTTGACCCTGTAATCCCTTACCTTAGCACCAGCTGCACACAGTGTGGCTCCAGGCACTCCTCCACAAGCTCACACACCAGCTTGGTCTGCTCAGCACCTGCAAGGGCAAGTCAGATGGGGAGAGCCTCCAAAGGCTGCCAAATCCATAGGGATGTGCCCAGCTCTTCCTAGCAGCCCTTCACACAGGCATAGTGTCAGTCAGGACATGCAAAAACCACAGAGCGCCCCGTTCTATTGTTCAGGATAATCCTGCTTCCTTTGCCCACCTGCACTCAGGGTTTAAATAGCACCAGTCCCTAGGAAAAGGGGTTCACGCATGAGGAGAGGCATTCAGCCAGCAGCTGGGAAAACTGATGCTGGAAGCTAACTTGGCCTCCCCTCCCTCTCCATCTCAGGCATCTGTAAACCCATCTCCCATTCTAATGCAAGTGATTGCTTGCCCAGGTAAAACCAGCCCTATGTCTCCATGGATCCTAACACATGTTCCACGTGACAAATGCCTCCCAGAAGACAGCACTTTGCAGTTGGGGTCCTTCTCCAGCTCCCACAGCCATGTCTCCCACAAGCCCACCGCACCTTCCCCTGGCTCCTGCAGGACCGCAGCCACCAGCACATGGCAGAAGGGTTGGGAATACTTGGAGCAAAATGAAGCGAGGGCAGCCATGAGGTGTCGGGAAGGTGGCTGGGTAAGGGACAGGACCTAGGGACAGAAAAGGTAGGAGGTGGGGATGGTGGAGAAGGGAAACAGGGAGCAGGAAACTTCTGCTGCCCTTGCACGTACTCGCCTGAGGAAGAGCTGCTCTGCCAGGATGGCCGCGCTGGTGTAGCTGAGGTCAGGGGTGAGAGCCAGCAGCCACCTGCAGAAACGCCCCAGGAAGGGCTCTGGGCACACAGACAGCTGGAGGAAGGAGCACAGTCCTTCAAGCTGGGGATGGCAGAGGGGATGGGACGTTAGGGATGGCAGCAGGCCCTCCGCAATACTGGCAGCTGCAGCAGGGATGCTGAGACTCACCTGGCTGGGGGAGCAGCTGTTCAGGATGCACAGCTCAGGCGGGATGCTCAGCTCGGAGTGCTGGAGGGAAAACAGTCCTAAGTAATGCACCAAATAAATCAACACACAATATATGGCTCTAAGAATTTTCCCTTCCCCTCACGTCAGCCAGCGCTGTGCCCACAGGCTGCCCCTCACACAGCAATCCCTGCGAGGTGCAGGCACGTATCGGTATCCCAGCCCAGAGGAGGTGGCAGTAGGGCTTTCTATCCTTGTCCAGTCAGTCCCATGAAACCCACCTCCTTTCTCACCCCTTTTGAGGCCCTGGCACGAGCCCATTTAGACCACTGGCTCCAGGAGACAGACAGAAGCAACCACTTACGCTGGACTCCTGCAGCAGCAGCATTTTCAGCTTCTGTCCATGCATCTGAGGGAAATGAGATGAAGGAAGGGGAATCAGGCTGTAAAGGCTCACTGTCTGGAAGGGGAGAGCAAACCCTACCCAGTACCTGGAGAAAGGACTGGGCCTCTGCTGCCAGCTCTGTTTCAGGACTCTTCCTGAGCTCCCCAACTGCATCCTGCTGGGAGCTGTCTGGAGCAGCCCCATCTGTGCTCTCAGCACATGTACCCACTGAAGGCTCCTCAGGCACCTCCTCTTCTATCCCTGTCACATCCCCACATTCCTGGGGTCCCAGAGGGTCAAACGCCACCTCCTCCAGCAGCAATCTCTTCCTCTCTCTGTCACTGACCAACTCCGCTCCCTCCTCCAACACTTTCTTGCGCTTTCCACCTTGAGGCACAGAGTCAGCCACATCTCCAGTGGCACCAGGTTGCTTCCTAAAGCACCAGTTCAATTTCCTTTGCCCCTCTGGTTTGTTCTGGGCAATTTTCTGGCACAGGCACCTAAGCTGCTGCTGGCATGTAGACGAGAGTGGAGTGGGAGATGGGAAGCGCTCTTCTGTTCTTGGTCCCTGCCGGAGCAGACCCCCCAGCGTCCGCATCCAGGGATCCACATGGGAATCCTGTTCCATGGCCTGGAGCAGCTGGCCAAGGCAGCCTCCTGGTACTGCATCCCGCATCATGAGGAGCAGGGAGAAGAAGTTTCTCTGGCACATGATGGGCAGCAGCAGCAGCCGTGGCTTGCTGGGTAAGGGGAGAAAAGGAAAGGCAACTTGTCACAGCAAACCTCCTCGTCCTGACTCCAAGCTGCCCTGTGTGCCTCTCTATGGAGCAAGAGGAGGCAGCAGCTAACGCCTTCACCAGCTTTTGCAGACACAAGCTGGGAGACCAGCTGGCCGCTGCTACGATCCCAGACTCAGGCATGGACCGCTGCACTGGGGTAAGTGGACATGCGGACTCAAATTAGGCATCTGACACGCCAAACCTCCCACAAACACCAAGTTTTAGAAACGCATCTGACTCACACTGCCAGGACGCCCTGTGGTTCCTCCAGCACGGGCTCCTCGGCGCACAGGGCTGCGGTGAGGGCCTGCCAGGGGAACGCCTGTCCCGGTCCCTCGCGGGGCTGGTCCCGCTGCAGCATCCGGAGGGCGGCGAGTGCCCCGGCGGGGCCGGAGGCCAGCGCGTGGAGCAGGAGGC